AACGTACAAAACTAATAATTCGAACGGTCTCCTGTTCTCTAAGGCGGAGATAGACTGGTGTGTTTAGGACATTCTGGGTCCGTGACTTTCCCTGTCTAAAGCACATGCGGCCATCCGCACACATAGACACATTGCTGTTACTCGATGAAGTGCAGATGGGTTGGTAACAGCTTGAGTATATCCTCCGTGGTCTCCCCCTAGACCATAATACTGTCGTCTTGACCAAAGAAGACAAGTAATTTGGAATTGAGTAATGGTTGATTAACCTCCGTACGCTCAGCTATGATATCGCAGACCTGAGACCACAAGTCTCTTATCATGTAGGAGGCACTTGTCTTCTGTACGTATTGAACACCTGATCATTTTCCTTCATTTGTCTCATTGGACAGTATAGATATTCCGCCTGACATGGTCTCCCACCAGGCAGTGCACGTACCTGGATGATATCTATCCAAGAAGGCTATGCTTCTCTTCTCCAACGTATGTTTCCGTTGGTCGCATACTCCTTCCATGTACCAGAAGGACGACCCCCTCGAGCACGGGCCGAATTCCAGCGGCTACTGTACTTACGAAAATACACACAGCGATCACAGCCCATGCCAGGAAACCTCCATGATAGTTCTGAGGCTCGTAGGCTAGGTAGTTTAGAATAACAAGCCCTTGAATGATGGTACCTGTGAAGATGCTACCTACAGCAAGCGTGGCGGTCCAAGCCAGTGTAGTGAGCCACCTTATAGTCTATCAGTCCCTGACCTGTTGATGCTAAGGGGCCTGGGAAATCAACCTGTCAAGTAGCCATAGAAGCGTTTATACTTTTGAGGAGCAAGGATCGCGTCTCAGGAGTATTGCCGAGGTGGGCGCGCTTAACAGAAGCATTATACGTTGGTTCGTTGCCTTTGGAGCTGAAGACGCTTTTCGAATACCTCTGTAAAGAGCCTGGAGATATCAATTAGCGGAGCGAGCACTCGAACTGTAGTTGTAAAGGTGTAATGGATCTTACTTGGGCTGCACAACGGTTACTGACCTACAGAATTGGTTGGCAGGCTTCAAACATTTATTATATATGCTCATGGAGTCTTTGAGAACGCATGTGTAGCCTTACCCATCAAAATATATTAATATGCTATAATTCGAGCTCCAATTGACGGAGATTTTCATGAGTCACACTTGCCAGTGACATTCTTCAGCGGCCTCACAGCTGTTGTGTGATTATCCACTGACATGCCTCATGATAATGTTGATGTGATGAAGACGTCCTCATTCCCAAACGATTCTATGTTGATCAGCCAGATTTCTTTATGCTCAAACAGTGTAACCACCCATGTACCCGAACTCGAGACTCAGTTTTGAAATGTACAACACTGTATGAAGGAGCTTGATTCCACGACAGCAACAGGTGGCCAAATGAGAGACGACTAGCCCTCACACCTAAGTCCTTTGTCAGAACGGTCAAGTCTAGGTTAGATATCTTGGGCCATCTTTCAAAACATTTCATCAGGGAGTTAGGGAATAAGAACTGTTCACTTGGTTCATTACGATTCTTTATTACTACAATGTTTCTGTATGGCATGGTAAAAAGACAGAGCAGAGGGTTTACAGATCGACAAGTATTCGAAATAACCATTCTGAAGACTCCTGGATATTGTTCATTTTGCCTGTTGGCCCATAAATCTCAAAAGGCACCCCAGAAAGAATTTCCCTCTACGAGGTGTTTCGATAACTGGTTCGATAAGCCCTAATTTCCCATTTCAGGGTTATTTGATTCCATGTTTTGATTGTCCAGCCTCATAGCTCCACAATCAAGTTCTCTGCGACCTGGTGTGCTCCATCTCCCCAGAGACCGACAATGGCCATAGTGAAGCCGATACCAGCCACGGCAGTCTGGACGAGCTGATTCCGCACGAAGAATTCGACCTCGCTGCGGACCTCCTCGCCGTTTATATCTTCCTCAAGCTCTTCGCCGCTCACACTGGCGCCTTCTTCGCTGTGCGAGTCTCCAAGAACCTCGTAACTAGCTTCCATGCGCTTCGCGGCAGCCTTGTCCTTGCGAGCCTGGGCGAGAGCGGCTCGTCTTCGGGCGGTGGAGGAATTGGAGGTAGGTGTCCCGAAGATGGATGGCGTTACGTAGCTGGTCAAGCGGGTGCTGAAGCAAAACAGCGAAGTATAGAGGAGGTAAGGATGCCTAAAGCCTCGCGGTGAGGCGGCAAAGGCCAACAGGAATGTCGTGCCAGACACGCCAGTCAAGGTAGATAGTTGAGTCGATGCGCTCGATGCTAGCGACCGGAAGGCTTTGGCGGCTGTCGAGGCGGAGGGAAGCTCGAGGAGAGAAGGGATGGTCAGGGTAGACAGGGTGTAGGAAGTGCCCTTGGATGGATTAGCTTGCTGACCTATGCATACGCTGTGTATAGCTGGCGAGTTTTACAGGAGACGGAATGCGAGATATGTTCAAAGAACAATTATTCGTGGTTGCGGATGGGCGCGGGGTTTCATGGACTGTAAGAGGGGTACAAGCAGTATAGGAAGCGTAGACTTACCGTCAAGAGACCCAGGGACACGGTGCCCACAAACTTGAGGGCCGAGACCTTCTTAGATGACATGTTGACGATGGTTGTTGCAGTCTGATCGTGGGGGACGATGCGCCTATGTCAGAGATGCATGTGTAGAGAAGGCAATTTGTGAGCGTGGTATGATGCGTTGCGATAGCGTAATGGTGTCTGAGGCGACACTGCAGGTTGGGTGTGATGACGGGGGATTAGGCGATAAGATGGGGATACGGAAAGGTAGCTGGTCATAGCACTTGCGGGGTGCGTCATTGGCTCTGGGCTGCCACATCCCGCGGGCGCTAAGACCACTTGGGGTCTCAAGGTATCTGTCTGAGTCTGCAAGGTCTCGGGCACTGGGACCACTCCACCCAAGCTCTCCAGCCTCCACACTGTTGTGGCACAGGGGCAGCTTGTCCAGGTTGCTTCAGTGGACCAGCAGCACCACCAACCGAGGCATCTCCCTTGCTTTTGTGCATTTGCCAACGTGACCCTGGCGAGATATTGTCTGTGTCAGACCTCGATTCCTCAAGGAAATTGATCATGGCAGCCCACGCCAATTCTTCTTTACTTCTATCCGTTTGAGCTGTCACTATCACCGTAGTTGCGACCCGATTAACGTCTATAACGTACCCGATCCTACAGTGTGAATGTCATACGGCATAGGTAGTAGCTGCTTATATCAGTCGAACTTCATAATTCCTCACCCAAGCAAGCACTCCCTCCATAATGCCGATTCCCAAGTCTGTATATTTGAGCTCCGTTTGGAGGGATGGCATATTTGGTAAGCCACCCCTCATTGGCCCATTTGATTCTATCGTTAATAACGTCCTTCAGAGGGCCGTGTCGTCTTCGTGACCGGCGGTGCCGGGACCATTTGCAGTGCCCAGACTCGGGCATTGGTCCACCTTGGAGCCAATGCTTGCATCATTGGCCGCAATGTCAAGAAGACTGAAGATGTCGCTGCCGACATTGCCACGGCAAGGAAGGGCGCAAAAGTCCTTGGTATCGGTGGCTGCGATGTTCGGGACCCCGAGAGTCTGAAACAGGCAGCTGAGAGATGTGTCAAAGAGCTTGGCGCCATCGACTTCGTCATTGCTGGTGCAGCTGGCAATTTCGTGGCCCCAATCACAGGCCTATCTTCCAATGGATTCAAGACTGTCATGGAGATTGACGTCCTTGGGACCTACAATACCGTCAAAGCTACTATTCCCTACTTGGTCGAATCCGCAGCCCGGAATCCAAATCCGAGCAACGATGGCCTTACTGGCGGGAGGATCATTTACGTGTCAGCTACCTTCCACTACGCTGGTATGCCTATGCAGGCACACGTCTCGGCAGCAAAGGCGTCTGTCGATTCGATCATGGCTTCGGTAGCACTCGAGTTCGGACCTTTGGGTATCACGAGTAACGTCATCGCTCCTGGCGGAATTGCTGGAACTGAGGGAATGGAAAGATTAGCCAGTAGCAAGATGGATTACAACGAAGCTGCCAAGATGATTCCTTCAGGTCGATGGGGTACGATCCGTGATATTGCGGATGCCACAGTATTCCTCTTCAGCGACGCCGGAAACTATGTCAATGGAGATGCCCTTGTTGTCGATGGAGCCGATTGGAGGAATAAGATGATGGGCGTCGGGCAGTCGAAGCAGATGCGCTATCCGGATTTCCTGATTGATGGGAGCAAGGAGTTCTTGAAGCATGTCAAGAGTGGACGAAAGTATAAAGCCAAGCTCTAATACTGGATAGGCATACCCACATTCTGACTGATTTAGAGCAAATGTGGCATATGATGTCCACGATGCAAGTATGCATGCACATATCGCTTAGTGAGGAGTCGGAGAAGCTCATACCCTATGGCATCAACCAGAATAAGACTATTCAAAACAAATAAGCGTGTGACAAGTCACGGTTAATGCACTCTTGAAGCCTAGGTCCCCCTTGTGGCCTCGATGGAGGCTGGCACGATGGCAGTAATGTCTACCAAGTAGCAACCTGTTGGTAGGAAACAGTAAAAGGCCATTCACTGAGCAGGGTCTCCAACAAGGTATTGGTCAATGAATTTACGCTTCGAACTTGTTATGGTACAAGAAAATCTCACCAACATGTTTGCAGATTCCACTTCACTTTGCCTCGAGATTGCCCCTTTGAAAACCAAGAATGACTGTGCTACTACTATTCAAGAACCGCCTTATTAGCACAAAAAGCTTCGAGCTGTATTTAATTACGGCAAGCAGGTGCAGCGAAGAGAGCTATCAGGCGGCAAATAGAAAATAATTGAACGCAGTATAAATTCTCTATAGGTATGTTCATTTATAATGGTTCGATATCAACTATATATTTGCAACCTCAGACGATCCTTTTTTGCATTGCCTTCTTCCTAGGATCGCGACGATCATAACAAAAAAGCGAAGAAAAACTTCAGGAATGAAAAAAACGAAAATCCAGATGGTTGTGAATTGAACACGACCCGATTCGAACGGGTGACCGCCTGGACTGGAATCAGGTGCGCTACCACTGCGCCACGCGTCCTGTGACCTATGCAGATGATAAAATTCCCGTCTTATTTATTACTATAATTATAGAAAATAGGGAACAAAGCCGAACTACGATGCTACATCTCCATAGACTGGTCTGGATGCTTGTACACGGGATCAATCCATATGGGGCATGTCTATTTGCTAATGGATGGAGAATAAAATGTAGTTAAAGGCGTCAAGTTCAGTTCTTAGTATTACAGACAGGTCGTTGTAGGAAGAAGTGTGCACGCCACAGGGAGAGCTCAATTGCGTCTGATAGGCATGTTACCGTGCATAAGTGGCTGCAAGCTGGTACTTCAGAGGTATGCCCACTAAGCCACAGCAGGAAGAAGACAACTACAAGTACTTACACATGTAATTCCTCAAGGTATCTCTACGGCAGGGCCTTGACACCTCAAGGTCAAGAACTGTTTCTACCTACCTGTATTGTGCAGAAAGTAGGCATATGAGAAAGCTGAAATCTTGCCTACTTGAAGAGATGGATGAGGTAGATGTGGTTGAAACGGATTGGCGGATAAAGTGGTGTGAGTATCGGTAAGAGGCTGCCAGAAGACAGGTTAACGCATAAAGCTGCTCAATGCAATTGTTCCACGTGCTAAGTTTCGGTTAATTATGCCATGGCTTACATTGCGATACTATGTATCTAAGTACCTAGCTTAAACGAAGCACTTCTCAGTGCGCCTGCTGTAATTGGTTGAGATATCGGCATTGGCTTGCCGTGAGGGACTCAGCGCATCTCGAGAAGGGATTGTACGCTCGAGCCACCTGGTACAATAGCATAATTCTCAGAGCCAGCCACCCCGCAAGTCTCCCCAACTCTCCCAATTCACTGTCAGCTCCAATCTTTCTTCCGTTAAGCACAACCCTCGCCCCTTTACCCTCCCAAACCCTCGTTTACGCGCTTAGACTGCGATAAACATCTGCCAATTGAGAACAATTCAACCATCCCGTCCATCCACCCTGACTCGATAGTAGTCAATCGCTGACCATGTCCGACATTGCTGCACCTCCAGCCACTGACGACACCCCTCCTGAGCACGATCAGTCTCTTGTTCAGCAGCAGCCCGATCACCTTCAGCAGACCCCTAAGGAGCGGCATTCCCTGACGCTCGATCAGCGACGCGCTCTGCGCCGCTGGGCTCACTCGCAAACTACGCGTCCTTCCCACAAAGCCTGCATCGAATGGTTCTATGGCCAATACGGCCAGAACGTCAGCCAGTCTACCATCTCCCACTCCCTCTCACCCAAATACGCGCGTCTCGACAATGATAATCAGTTCAGCGGGTCGCGACTGCGCTTCGGTAACTGGCCTGATGTAGAGAAGCTTGTCCTTCTATGGCATGGCCAGGTAGTCGCGTCCGGCCGCAACCCTTCCAACGAAGAACTGGCCGAGAAGGCCAAGTCTATCTTCCAGCAGCTACCACGATATAAGGACGAGTCACCACCCGAGTTCTCTCCTGGTTGGATTCACCGTTTTAAGAAACGCTATGGTCTGTTGATCCGTCGTCAGCGACGTCATGGCAGCGCGCCCAACCCGGCCGATGACATCCCCTACCTTGTTGACGCAGTCCCCCGCTTCATGTCCATCAGCGCCGAGACCAGCCCAACCGCCATTCGCGATGCAGTGCTTCGTGTCGTTGGGGTCGAGGCAAGCCTTGCGACTTGCGCCCGCGTCCGTGACGAGGTGATTCGTCGACTTGAAACCCCTAACCCCCCTCCTCACCCGGCTATGAACGGTGCTCCTGTCCCTCATCCTGCCGAGCCAGACGCGTTTGTAGAGAGCGAAGACCCTGAGGTAGTTCTCCAGAACGCTCTCCGTCAGATGCAGCAGGAGGAAGCAGATGCCGAGGCCGAGGCCGCCGCTGTCCGTGAGCAACGCGAGAGACAAGAGCAGGGTCTCCCTCCCATTGCTCCCAGCCTGCAAACACCGACTCCCGGTGCTGCTAGATCCAGCGCACGTTTTACTCCAGCTGGTCACGAAGATCCCAACCTAACCCTAACGCCCATCGCAAGTGCGGGTGCCGGCTCAAGTTCTGATCGACCTCTTCGATGCCCGTTCTGCGTAAATCAGCGTATGCTTCGCACCATTAAGGAAGCTGTGGAGCACATGAGCACCCACGTCGTGATCTAGTGTGGCATCCAATGCTGTACGTTTCTGGGCAAATCAAGGTTCTTATGTCAAGTCCTTCCGGGGATACTGTTTTGGTCGATCGATGATACCCTGATACTTGCTGTCTCACTCGTGGATATGCTCGTCATTGGTGTGTCTTCTCCCTTCTTTGTATTTGTAGGGTGTAAAAATGGCATTTCTGCTTCGATGGTTTGAGGCGAAGGGAAGAGAGCAGCAATTGATGACATTGAAAAGGGAAGGGAACACAGGCGTTTAGGTAAACTGGGTGGGATAAAGAAACTTAGTAGCCCAAATCGTCTGCTGTGTAGCAACGTTGAGCGGTTAAGCGTTGGCTCTTTGCTGTATGGACATATAAACTTCACTTCGGTGCTGGGTTATAGGAGAGTACCGAAGGGTCATCTATGCTTGTCAATTTCTCATACGAGCATTTAGACCGAAAAATGACGTGCGCTTGCCACCGCCTCGCAACAGCTTTACTAGCAATACACTTCATTTTGCACGTTGTCATGCACTGAGTGGTTCGTATGGGCCTTCATCAAGTTGATTACGTATTCAAATGCGATGTTGTATCTTGACAGGAGTGTCTTCAACTCTGCCCTGGCAGTTTTAATGAGGGATATATCTCCCCCAACCCAGTCGGGCCAGTTATTAGTCTATGTAGCACGGTTTTCCTCTTCCGAAAAGCTTTGTAAGTAAGAGTTGAAATGGGTTCCAGGCCTCTTTTGATCGGACCTGAGCGTACTGTTTGATTCCATTGTGGCAGAGCTGGCGTGATGGCTGTGAAGTGGCCTCCACGTGTAGTGGTTGGCCAGCACGATTACACCACCATACTAGCCCTTTCATTATGTCATCAAAAATCAAACAAGATAGACGGCGTTATAAAGCAATGGGATTCAATAGGATATATAAACAAATGCAGTAGCGAGGGGTCGGAGAAGTAGCCCAGACTGGCGGATAGGCAGGTAGGGTGTGGTCCTGCCCCCAGAAGCGCATATGTAGCTTCGAGGGGTTGGACGCGGTATGCAGAAACAGGAGAGAGACTCTGCCGACTCTAGGGACTGTGAGCAGGCATGACCGGCGACACATGGGGTAGGAGCCGTCGGCATCAATTGGAAGTACTACCTACTCGTCTTGGGTTGTGGAGTGGTCATATCATGCCCTGTTCATGGTATTCGTACCGAACGCCACTCCAGACTCACATGTGCCCTGTAGAACTGTTTCGATACTCATCAAGGTAAACAAGTAGAAAGTTAATTTTAAAAAGCCTCTCAGTTGTAGAGCTTGAACTCGCTGTATGATAGAATGCTTATTATCCTAAGTATTACACCGGTTGCGAATCCTGCTATCGCAATACACGCTTTCTCATGTTCTATATATCAAAATGTCCAGAGAGGATATCGACCCAGTTCCCCAGTACGCCTGTCACGCCACTTCCGCTTCTATCATGATGTCGTGTCGGTTACAACGTCAAAGAAAACTCCAATCAAGACCAACCCATGGTCTGTTACAGCGGTAGCCACCGCTGTACCTATCCAAGCAACTGGAGAAGTCAGTTCTTCTCGTGCATGCGTATGTACATATATACAAGAGATATTTCGAAGGTCCATATTACAGACACCTCGCTGAGCACGGCACTTTACAACCACATTAGATTCCGCGATTGCTGCCTGTTCTGCTGCCATAGTGGCCGGCTTCCGCGATTCCGGGAAGGGCTTCTGCTTGACGGTGGACTCGTCCCTGCCTCCTGCGCGCTGTCGCGCAGCGGCTGTCTGTCCTCGTCGCTCGCCTGCCCTATCCCCGCGCTCGTGTACGCCCGCGAAAACTCATCAATTTCGCGGCCGTCCGCCTCACTACTCTCATACGTGGAGACTTCCTCCTCAACTGGCGCGAGCCCCATGCCGTAACCCGGTATGTGTGCAGGCGTATAACGCGCCAGTGGCTGTGAGAAAGTCGGTTGTTTGCCTCCCGATGTAATGTTCGTCGTCATTCCCGTCTGCGGCTGATAGACCCAGGGGCTGTTATATGGAGACCCGTACGGGGCTTGGTGGTGATCGGATGGGTTGTGTTGGGGGGCTTCGTCTTCGTTCCATGATGGAAGCGGTGCGAAAGCTGCTCCGTGCGAGCGCATGGGACTGTGGTATTCGGTGTTCGGTGCTGCACTTGGAGGTGGACCCGGTCCTTTGCGTTCGTTTCTTCTGCGTTTTCGTAGACAGAAAACTACAAGCCCGATGATTGCTGCGACAGCGGCGGCGCCACCAACAGTTATTCCGATGATCGCTGCCGTCGAGGTGGAGCTAGAGTCTGATGAGCTGGTTGCAGGCGCTGCTGTAGCAGAGTCCGTTGCTGATTCGGTGGGTGAAGTCCCTGAAGTTGTGGTTTCGTTGGAGGTCGTCGAGGACGTGGAAGATGATGACGATGTTGATGACGATGTTGATGACGATGTTGATGATGAAGTTGATGATGAGGTTGATGACGAGGTTGATGCTGAGGTACTGCCTGAGGTTGACGTTCCTAGAGTAGTCGGCTCGGACAACGAGGTTGGGGTTGCGGTCAGTGTCAGCTCGGTTTGTTTCAAGCTCACTGCCGATGTTTGAACTGTAGTCCCAAGGTCCGACGCACTCCCACACCCATACTGGGAGTATCCGCCAGCGAATTGGTTTTGGTAGCATACGTCTGACCCCGAACAAGTGTAGACGTATGGGTTGACTTCAGTCTGTGGCGAACTATTCCCGTCGACACAGCCCGTAAATACACCCGCCGTACATGTTCCTCCATTCGGACAACATCCCACGACACTGTTACCAGTGTCTAACACACAATGCGACCCTGCTGAGCATGTTGCAGGCAGATCTGAGTTGCCT